AATTACACGCAAAAAAGCACAGGCTTTTCGAGATATCATCAGCAAAAGAAAGTGTGACACACAGACAGAATGACAGACATACCCAAATTAATATCCCCCACTTTCAGTGAAAGCGGTGGACTAAAAATGAATTCATGCAAATTTTCTTAACTCCATTCATTATATGCCTTTAGTCTATTATGATCAGCGTTTGTATATAACAATTGATACTAGAAATGTACTGCAAACATGTATAGGTGTAACAATGAGCGAGTCCGAATCTGCCAAGAATCACATCTTTACTTTTTTTCTTATACTAGTATACCAATAGCATCGTTTTACAAACGGAGCAGAATCCTATTTTATATTCAGCACAGAAAAATAAAAGGGTATAATAACGTAGGGAGGTCAGCCAAATCGCTAATTATATGTGGGTGTGCGGGGGGGGGGTATACAAAAATAGTAATTGAGAGTGACCTCCTGTAAAATTCTCTAAGCGGTGAAAACCAATAAAGCGTAAGTTACAGTGGTAAAGAAAAGCACGTGTACTTCCTTCAGAATCATACAGCAAGAAAGAAAAGTAATAATGACTCCTTGTACATTGTATTCAGGGGACAAAGAGCCAACAGGTAGTCATTTACCATAGTTATGCTCAGTATAGAAAGGGCAAAGATATGCTGAAAGGTAGACCAACTGAGAACAGTTCTTAGGTCGTGTGAAGGAAGCAGCATTAAGTAATAACTACGAATAAAAGTTAAAAATAAATCCATGCCAATATTTTTATGACAATGTGTTTGATTTTAATCAATTCAGCCAATAACATGATAGAAACAAGATGTGTTTGTGAAACACTGATGCCCCCGTATGGCAGCTTATGGCGAAGGTTAAAGTTTCTTAAATGCATGTCAAACTCCAGGTCAAGAATCAAAAATTGTTGGTACCCAAAGAAAGGTCTTGTCTCAAGGAATACACCTGGGAAATTTGAAAGCCCTAGCACCAACTGTTCAAAAGTTATGGCCAAGGTTAAAGTTTTTTTTAAAAATAAGTAGAACGTCAAGGGCAAGGTCAAATGGGGCCCTAAGGGAAGGTCTTGTCACAAGTGTTACACATGTTCGTGAAATGTGAAAGCCCTAGAACCAAACGTTCGCATGTTATGGCCAAGGTTAAAGTTTTTTTAAAAAGTAGGTCAAACTCCAATGTTAAGGTCAATGCTAAAATTGTTGGTCTTGTCACAAGGAATGCACATGTGAAGTATGAAAGCCTTAGCACCAAATGTTTAAAAGTTATGCCAAAATTAAAGTTTTTCAAAGGTAGTTCAAACTCCAAGGTCAAAGGGTCAAAGTTGTTGGTATCCAAAGGAAGGTCTTGTCACAAGGATTACATAATATGTAAAGTATGAAAGCCCTAGCACCAACCGTTTAAAAGTTATGCCAAGGTTAAAGTTGTTCAAAAGTAGGTCAAGGTCAAAGGGTCAGAATGTTTGGTATCCAAAAGAAGGTCTTGTCATAAGGAATAGACAAATTAAATATGAAAGCCCTAGTACCAACTGTTCAAAAGTTATGGCCAAGGTCAAAGTTTTTCAAAAGTAGATCAAACTCCTAGATCAAGATCAAAAGGTCAAAGTTGTTAGTATCTAAAGGAAGGTCTTGTCACAAGAAATACACATGTAAAGTTTGAATGCCCAAGCATCAACTGTTCAAAAGTTATGGCCAAGGTTAATGTCTCATAAAATTTTGCAAAAGTGGGTCAAACCCCAAGGTCAAGATCAAATATGATGGTACCCAAAGAAAGGTCTTGTCACAAGGAATACGCATGTGAAATATGAAAGTCATAGCTCCAACCAATTAAAAGTTATGCGCAAAGTTAAAGTTTTTGCGGACAGACAGACAGACGGACAGAACAAAAACTATATGCCCACGAATCTTCGATTCAGGGGCATATCAATCAACCAGTCTGAGTCTCTTGACCAATTTTAGCTGTTAAAGAAAGCAACTCAAAAAAAATGATCGACGCCGGTCTTGTAGAATAGGCTTTCCCCTCTAAAATCTTTCCCCCCCAGAAAACTGGCTCTAGAGAAGGATTTCCTCCCGGAAAATAGGCTCTAGAGTAGGATTTCACCCACGGAAAAAGGACTCTAGAATAGGATTTCTCCAACGGAAATGCCAGATCAGATTTAATTTTCCGGGGGAAATCCTACTCTGCATAATAGTTATAGAGTGCGATTTCCCCCAGAGCCAGTTATATGCAAGATATAAATTTCTGGCATGGTCTTTAACCTGTTGATTCCAAAAGGAGTCTTTTTTTTTATGTCATATTGACTTAAGGTATAAAATTTCATTCCAAAACCCCAAGGAGAATTAGTTATCACCAGGAAAGCATTTCATGCAAGATATGAATTTTCGCCTTGATTTTTGACCTAAACTTCTTTAAGTCACTGGGAGATATAAAATTTCACAGAAAAGGCTCGAGGAAACAAAAGATATCATCCGGAAACTATTTTTGTATTGTAGGAAATTTTAACCTTTGATCTTTTGACCTAGAAATAAAAAGGGGTCTTTTTATCTAAGTTATTGAGAGCTATAATATATAACTTCATTGAAAAAACTCGAAGAGAACTAGTCAACATCTGGAAAACAATTTTTGCAATAAATAAATTTCTTACCTTGACCGATTTAACCTCAAAATCAATAGGATCTTTTAAAGGTCATGGGGAGTTGTTATATAAAATTTAATCGTAAAATCTCTCAGATTTTTAAAGATATAGACCTGAAGCGAAATTGTTATACGCAGACAGAATTTCTGACCTTGACCTTAAACCTTTTTACCTCAAAATCAATAGTTTGTTTTCTTGATCCACAGGGAGTTACATTTAATTTTATTTAAAAAAGCTCGAAAACTAAAGATATCATCTGGAAACTGTTATTTGCATGAATTTATGACCTTGACCTTTTGACCTCAAAATCAAAAGGGTCTTCTTTAGACCATGGGGAGTTGTGCTATAAAATCACAAATGCAAAAGCTCCTGAAAAGGCATTTTGATATATTGTACGGAAACGAAAGTGTTCAACTCCGACAGAATGTATGAATATCTGACCTTGAACTTTAACCTCAAAATTAATAGGGGTCTTCTTGACCATAGGTAGTTGTAAAAATTTGATTTTAAAATTACACGCAAAAAAGCACAGGCTTTTCGAGATATCATCAGCAAAAGAAAGTGTGACACACAGACAGAATGACAGACATACCCAAATTAATATCCCCCACTTTCAGTGAAAGCGGTGGACTAAAAATGAATTCATGCAAATTTTCTTAACTCCATTCATTATATGCCTTTAGTCTATTATGATCAGCGTTTGTATATAACAATTGATACTAGAAATGTACTGCAAACATGTATAGGTGTAACAATGAGCGAGTCCGAATCTGCCAAGAATCACATCTTTACTTTTTTTCTTATACTAGTATACCAATAGCATCGTTTTACAAACGGAGCAGAATCCTATTTTATATTCAGCACAGAAAAATAAAAGGGTATAATAACGTAGGGAGGTCAGCCAAATCGCTAATTATATGTGGGTGTGCGGGGGGGGGGGGGGGTTGTTGAATGAATTGGATGCACTAGCTACATGTGCAGGTCTGTGTTTGTCATACATATAGGCAAGTATTTTTCTTGCTAGATATGGCCGCGGAACATTAACTGGCAAAATTGGAAATATACAGCTTACGTTTTTTCTATCTGTTACCGTCAAAACATTTAATGAAAGACAATGAAATGGGCGGGTACAATTCGGCACGGACGTCCGAGAAAACATTGGATTGAAATTCTAGTTTGAAATTCATTTTCAATCCACCTGAGCTGTTTTCAAACGCAGAGTGTGAATGTATGATCCAAAAGACAAAATAAATTAAATTCCCAAATACATGTTGTTTGAAATTCATATTTATCATTGTTTATATGAGTTTTTACCCTGTAAGTTTGAGGACACGTAAAAGTCATAGACGGCAGAGATTATTTTTTTTCAGGAAATGGCTATTTTATTCTAGATGGGGGGGGGGGGGGTTAAAAATTGTTGAGTCAGATTATGCCTTCACATGACAAAATATATTTATTTCTAGGATGACAAGAGGTATTTTCTTCAGTTTTATCTTCACTGAAAAATGTTTGACAATCAGAAACAGGGAGAGGTCGTCCAAACTAAAAAAAAATACTTTCTTTTTTATTTCCAAGATCGCCCCCCCCCCCCCCACACACACACACACACATGCATGTGTATACCTAACAGAAATCAAATACTCAATATTTGTCCCTTTATATTTCTTTAAAAACACTGGACAGAAATTCTGAGTTATATATTTAAACTTCAAAATATCCCGAAATTGAAATTATTTGTCGTCTGGGTCATTCAGTAACACATTGCCTAGGTGGATTGAAAATGAATTTCAAACTAGAATTTCAATCCAATTTTTTCTCGGAAATCCGTGCCGAATTGTACCCGCCCATTCCATTGTCTTTCATGAAATGTTTTGATTGTAAGAGATGGAAATGACGTAAGCTGCATACTCCGTATTTCCAATTTTGCCAGATACATGTAATGTTCCGCGGTCTTAATTGATAAATATGGTATAGATACATATTTGTAAAGTACTTAAGTTCATGACTTGACCATGCATTGCGTAATACATAGCAGAGTTCTGCATGGCAGTGGTGTTTGGAACCCATGGACCAGGAAAGAATTGAAATTGATCCTGCTAGAGCTAAATTTATGAGCAATTCTCTCTGGATGTTATTAAAACATGGAAGTTTTTCCTCGGGTGAAAAGGAAGAGGATGTGCCATATGTGTTATAGATAAATTATAGATGGTTCTTGAAAAATAAATACTTCGAGACTTTGTGTGCTGCAATATGAGCTATCTTTTAAACTGAAAATTTTCATTGAATGTCGAAAATTTTGTTCTGTCGATCGTGATGTGACTAACGGCTTAAGTTTGAACATTGCTTGGAGTTTAAGTTATTATATTTTGTTGTTTACATGTCGGTTTCACAATTAATGGATGAACAACAGCAAGACGATTCTAATTGTCCAATATGTGCTTATCAATTTTCCACTCCAGATAAAGTTCCGAAAATTTTACCCTGCTCTCACACGTTCTGCAGTCCTTGTATCGACAATATTATAGCCGCCACTCCTTCCAATTCAGACTCCGCTGTAAAGTGTCCAATCTGCAGGCAGGACATCTTCATTTCGAAAGATGGGGTCCAGGGATTTTTTGACAATTATTTTAAATCCGCGCCAAAACAAGAGGAGATGTGTGATATCTGTGGTGCACGAGAGGTACGAAAGCTGAAGCACTGTCATGAATGCAACAGTATTCTGTGTAGCGTTTGCCACAAAAGTCACCATCACAAAGATGAGAAAAAATTCGGCGATTACGACGAGGACAGCGACGAAGAAAACGATGGTCATCGTGATTTGCGAATTCTCCGAAGAATTGGAAATGCTTATCGAAGTACTGTGAAGTCTGCATTCTTCGCTTACCTCAGTACGTCATTCAAATGTAATAATTTTGAGCGTATTCGAAAGATAATTCCAGATGACAAAAACGAGTGCTGGGTTCTGACAAATAGACCATTCGTAGCCACATTTTCCCGAAATGGCCAGGAAATGTACAGAAAATATGTCGAAAACGTACTCCAAGACATAGCTCGATTTAGTGATGGTACACTTGTTTTAGCCTTCTCTAGTGGTGATATTCTGTTGCTGCGGGGGCAAGAATTAAGCTTAGCAACAACCACAGAAAACAGCGTCCCCATCTCACTGTACGCGTACGACGATGGTCGTCTGCTAATTGCTACGCGGCCTCACTCTAGTAACACCCATTTAAACAACAGCGGTCTATATATCACTGACCTGATAAAGAAGAAGATCCGGCCACTTTATGTGTACAATCTTTGTGAAGAGTCATCAATGACTGTAAATGAAAAAACCGGACAGGTCGCTCTCTGCGAAACGACAAAAAAGTGTGTTTATTTCGTAAGTACAGACAAAAAGTTCAAGTATCCTAAAGTGAAGAAATATACAGGAAAGAGGGGACTACAAAGACTTGAGCAATCAGAAGATAGTATTAATATCACGAATAGCTACCCTTTCCAACCACAATCAATTGCAAGTGACCAGAATGACAACTTCTACATACTGGATGCAGGGACAAACCTAATCCATGTAGTGGACGAGGAAGCAACGTTTCAATCCATTGTTCTAGCCACCATGTTTGGCAGTATAAGTTGTTTCAACGTGGATTCACATGAAAATTTGTGGATAGGCGACATCTCTGGTCAGATCAGAGTGTTCAGAATGGAGCGGTACAATTTTCTTGGACCAGAAGAAACAGACACTAGATCAGAGGAAGAAACAGACATAGACCTACCAATTGGTGGTGGTGGCCCGGTGTCTATGGAAGACCTCGGCATGATACGTTTGCTAAGAGTTGGACGGTCAAACTCGGGAGGATTAGAGCTTCCTGAAGGATTTGATCTTGGTAGTGGACTAAGGGAGATGTTGTCTGGTTCGTCATCGAATCGAGAGGAGCCGACTCGAATTCGAGACAATTTCATAAGAAACACATTTTAATTACCAAAATCCAATTATGTAAATAGAATTTGTACATGCAAGTTTCATAAAAGGAAAAAAAAAGACTTTTAGATTGCTTTTCTGCAGACTTGGTATGTTCTTTAAAACTGAAGTTTTGCAGTGAGTTAACATTAGTGCAGTATTGTAGTCCAAAATTTAGTTTCCATTCCTAGACATTTCCTGGAAAACGACATTCTTCCTTTATAATACGCCGCCAAGAGGAAAATTGAATCTATTTGAAACAGTGTGTTCGAGAAGATCGAATGTAATTGTTTCATTCTCAAACTGGAGGATGTGAACTGTTCACATCCTCCAGATTGAGATGCCTAGAGACAAAGAGGGATCTAAGGTAGTGTTCAGGTTTGAATGCCTTTCCACACTCTGGGCAGATCTTTGCTTGTTTGTCATTATGGTGGGTGAGTTTATGGGTGTATAAACCACACCTCTGACTGAAGGACATCCCACATGAATCACACATATAGGTCTTTTTATTCAGGTGGATTTTCTCATGTTCTTTCTTCCCACTTCCTGTTATGAAAGCCAGATCACAGTACTTGCATTTAAAGGGCCTGGCTCCCAAATGTGACCGCTTGTGAGCAGCCAGGGACTGCCGAGCACGAAAGGATTTACCACAATCGTCACACAGGTAGTGCCTGTCATTGGAATGAGAGTTCATATGAAAAGTTAAATGACACTTTTCGGTAAAACCTTTGCCACAGCTATTACAGATATGTGGAAGCTGTGCCAGGTGTTTTTTGGCGTGTCTGGTTATACTGTCTTTTGAATTGGTAACAAAGTTACAAAATCTACATGGAAACGTCCCCGTGTCATCGTGTTCCAATTTGTGACGATACAAAGCCATTGCCTTCTTGAATATTTGTCCGCATAAATGACATATCAGATCATTTGAACTCTTGTCACTCTGTGATGCAGAGGTGGGAATGTCAGTTGATGTATTAATTTTAGAAGCACTTTCTTGTTCCACGTTTGTGCACTCAAAACGAGAAGAGCCTGTTTCTATGTCTTGTTGCTGAACATAATTTGAGGATAACTTGCTCAGCTCACTACTCGGTGGACTCATTCCACTTTGTTCAACATTGATTTCAGTAGTATTTTCTGAAACTGTCATTTCTTTTTTGAACAAGAATCTTGATTATTTTTATGCATTTCCAAATGCTTTTCGAAATTTTTCTGCTATGCAAACACTTTGTCACAAATCCAACAGTTAAAGCTAGTTTCCTCAGGTACCTCTGGGGCACTGCAGCTGTTCTTTTCATTATGATATTGTAAGGTCTCATCTGAATCAAATCCATTTCTGCAAGTCCCACACAAGTAGACTACAGACACCTTATGAATAGCTGTATGGGTAGACAACTCCTTTTCAGTACGGAAAAAACTGAACTGAATTGAACCTGACAAAGTTTACATGTTCTACTTTCAACTTCATTTATCCCACTTGCCACATTCCTATCATTCTTTGTATTAATACTAGATTCCGGTTTTGAAGAACTTTTTCTTCTGGTTTCCAAAGCAGGTCTTACGGACTGAAAATCATTAATTCTAAGATGCTTCTGTAGTATATCTCGCTTTTTACATAATTATGATGTCACAAATTTTACATCGAAGTTTCTTCCCAGCATCAATGACAGCATCTCATCAAAGTTTTTCTACTCTTCAGTTGTTTATCACAAAACAAACAATTATGTCTAGATAACTTTTCTTTTTCTTCAGTTTTTCCATTTCCACATTCCTCCTCTTCAATAGAATTTTTCTTTCTTCTCCTCTTTTCAACTAATTCAGCCCTCATTCCTAATTTTTCTCTTGTTTGTTTACTCTGATTATTTATTTCATCTCGTTGAATGATTTCGTTATATTTACTCTCTTTCTGACCAGATCTTCTAAGATTCTTCCCTTTCCTTTCAAACTCTGATCGTAGTACGACTCTAATGTCATCATTCTTTTCTGTACCCTGTAAACCCCCTGAACTTTCCTTACTGTTATTCGGAACCCTTTTTTTGAACTCCAAAGACCCAGGGCTGCAGACGTTATTCATTACACTCATTACCTAGTCTTTAAATTTTTCTGGGGTATTATTACACATTTGTGCTTTATTATTAGATTTCTCTTCCTTGGAAAGCTGCTCTGTACTTGAAGAATCTTGTTCATCTTCAAATGTTTCACTGGGATCAAAATCAGACACATTGTAAGCTCCAGAACTTATCTTGTTATTCTTGCATTCTTTATCAGTATCCTCCAAACTTCCATGTAAAAAAAAACTTTCTGAAATGTAAAACACATTTCAATGAATTAGATCTTATTCTCTCCTTGCTTGAACTGCTTGTGGGCTACACATCTAATAAAATATCAATATTAACATTGATTATTTAGAATTCAGCTTATGCCACCTTCAGGCAATGTCGTTACATTTTTTGTATATAATGTGTGCGAGAAGATTATGTGTTGACAATGATTTATGAAAATAAAATAAATTTATTCTTGGGAATGAAAGAATCTTAAAAAAATCTTTTTGCATATGATTATAAAAAAAAAACATGTTTAAATCTCTTTTTAAAAGGATCAAAGAAAATCTCAAGTACAAATGAAGATACATGTAATTGATTTCATTTCATTTTAAATCTGGTAGTATTGCATAAATAATGTATATTTACATCCACTAAATATTATCTCCTTTATTTCTTAAGAAAACCATTGCCATTTATCAGTCAGTAAACACAGCTAAGCAAATCATCTCTACAGATCTGTTGGGCAGTGGCTCTTCCATCAATGAAATGTACAATCACGTACATATCAATAATACACTATTTCATCTACTAAATCCTACTTTAAATGATTATTTGTACAGTTATAAATTTAAACAATAAAATGCATTTCTTTGTTTGTTAGTACGGGAATTAAGTTCAATTAATGTTGCAGTTATTGCAAAAAAAATTACATTTTTCCTGCAACAGCTGTAACATTAATTCCCATATCAACAACCAAAGAAAGCACTTTATTGTTTAAATAGTTTCCATTTGAATTGTACCTATATCCTTAATAATTAATCTACATGCATTTTCTTCTTAGTTACCTTCATAAAGTGTTGTATCTGCTTAATACGTATCTACGATAAAAAAAAAAAAAAGAAAAAAAAAAAAGACAGATAATATGTTCAATATGGTAATATGTTGTTATAATTAATGAAATGTGACATTTTTCTGTGTTGTGCATGTAAACAAACCCTATACTCTTAAGGATATCCTATCCTCAGCCAGGAAGGATAACTCTTAAAATTATTATTAAATTAAAAATGTCTCAACATGAAGCTTGAAATTGAAAACTTTTCATGCAAGAATTTTCATTTTATGCATCTTAATATGATTCAAGATTCTTTGAAGTGTTAGAAGGGGTCTTGTAAAAAATTCTCATTTGTAGCTTTAAAAAGTAAAAAAATAAATACAGTTTTAGAGAAATAGGATTTTCTTGAATCTAGCCTTAGATACCAATGCTTATTAGCATGTTATGAAATTGAATGAGCTGTGTTGTTTTGCAATGGTAACACAATCTTTTTACTCAACCTATTATAAAATAATTGAAGAAAAAAGAAGACCTAGAATACAATAAGCATTAAAAAACATGCATTTTTTCTGAATGGCTGGATACCTATAATTTTTTTTTACCTAAAATATGTTTGTTGATCAATTTTCAATTAGAAAATGCATAGTTGATGTTTCTATTCGCTTTTTTCTGAAAATATATTGGAGATTTGGTAGTTTTCCCCATATAATATGATTAACTATAATAATTAACTTTAAAGAAATACTGTGAGTAAATATACATTTCTTTGTGAATTCAGAGATATTTTTGTGAGCATTTTCAATTATTTAATTGCTGATTTTATGAACCTGAGGATCGGACTACCTTAAAAAAATCATATCACGTAAATTCCACATTAATTTACCTGTACAGAAACTGATAAAACTTTTCACTGTATTCCTGTTCAAAGAGAAGTTTCTGCCAACACCACTGCTACAATGATAAATTTTCTCATTTTTTTGATCCAAGATTTTACTATAGAGGCATGATCTGCTTTCTCTAGCATGGAACACTAAACAAGGAAAAATTGCACATAAATGTACACACCAATAAAACATACAAATAATTGTAAAACCATACTATTTAAAAAAATGTTTACCATTCCATGCAACAGTATCAAATATCCATTTCTATGCTTTTTTGAAGTAGCCATTACAAACTTCTTTTGAAATAAAAAGCAACATGTTTTGAAACAACTGGAATTTTGCCTTTTTCAGAGAGATAATACTCCATTGTCATATTGTATGATAATATCCACAACAATTCACAAATATTACCAGACTGGATAGAAAAGAACCTATATCATCCATTTTGTATTTGGTCTCCATGTTGCTGAGTTAGTTTTGATGATTGTCATGAATCAATATTCTGCAAAATTGAAAAGACATTTTCATTCCACAATGATTTGACAAGTGATATTATGAAAGCTTGATATATATAAAATAAGCAATTTCAATACTGATCAGCCAACAATTTACCAAAGAAGGATAGCACCGATTGATATATATTCCAAGGCTTAGACCCATGTCTTCCCCATCATCACCTGCAAAAAGTACCTTGCATGTATTGACTTAAAATAAGTGTTCCTTATAACCTTGTCTTCATAGATGAAATAAATGGAGATAACAAACAGTATTCAAGCTCAAAAGTCCATTAAACAATACAAAATAGGAGCAGAGCAAACACGGGCCCCCCAAACATCAGAGGTGGGATCAGGTGCCATGGAGGAGTGAGCATCCCCTGCCGACCGGTCACACCCGCCGTTTGCTCCTTGTCATGATCGGGAAATAACGGAAAGATCCGTCGACAATTCAGTGTGTAAATAATGGCCTAACAATTAGTATGAAAAACGTCAGTCAGCATTTGACTCAATCTATGAAAATCTTTATGCCACATGTAAAAAATTTAGTGACTGTGTAAGGCACATTTTAATTGTTATGTATTCACCAACAAGTTTTCTTAAAACTTGACAGAAATTCTAAGCAACCTACCTAGCTACTACATGACAAATCTACCTGACCACCATATCTTTGCTTTTTTAAAATTGTCTTCATTACCATACTCTCACGGTCTCACCTGGCTTTTTTTAAATACACAAGTCAGTTCTAGTAGCAGCAGACAGCACAAAATTCAGTCAAACCTTATTATCTCCAACTCGATGGGACCGAGAAAAAACTTCAAAATATATGAGGATTCGAGATATCGAGGGTAAGATACTTAAGAAAAACGTGGTAACCACTTCCTAATTACTTCTACATACCCATAGTTTTCAAGATATCCGTGTTCGAGATACCGAAGTTCAACTGTAAAACAGGGATAAGTGAGAGGCTATAACAGATTTTTCATAACCCCCACTTTTCTGTTTCTGAACAGCTGCTCTTGCAACTGAACGTCACCATCTCTAGCTATCTGCAGGTCCAGTCCAAAGATTATTTCTACCTATGTAGCTACATAAAACTAAACCTAATCCAGGTAGGTATTTTTACATACTTTTTGCTTTACTTAATATTTTATATCTCGTCTTTTTTTTCTCTTATTTCTACTTATTTACTTAAATTTTTTTTATATTTAAATAAAGCATTTCTTCTTTTATCCGTTTTAAGTTTGAAGTACATGTAATGATTTTTCAAGCTTTTTACTCTATCTTAATTTAAGTTGTTTTTTTTTTTCAATGGTGTGTTGTAAAAAGGACTTCTTTTTTCAGAGGAACAAGACGGCTTGAGATATCTCAAAGGCTATAAAAACCTCCCTCTGTATCTCAATTTAGCTATGAACATTGAAAAGTTTGCTTTCTCTCTGAATAAAAAGAAGTCACTTTCCCAAAGTTTTTTTTATTTAGAGACCACATCATTTGAAGTACCGGGTATATTTTCTTATTTTTTTTCCTTCTTTTTTTAAAAAACAATTTTATCATATAATATAATATAATCTGTGGCTCAAAGTATTTTCAGTATTTTATTTAAATTTTCATTAAAACTGCAAAATTCTACAAAAATTGAAAAAATGAAAATGGGAAAGAAAACAATCTAAAAACAA